GTCTAAGCAGTGCTTTGTCACGGTTAATGGCAGCCGCGCTGCCAAGGGATATGTTCATTCGGTGGAAGAACCTGAGAGTAATGAACTGTTCGCAGATGTCGGTAGAACAGCAGATCAAAAAGCGGTGGAAGAATTGGTTGAAGTAAGAATAGATGAAAAGAACCCGGATAAGTTCTTTTTGCTCGGTTCGTCGTTGTCCAGCACAGAGAGATTAGAGGTCTTGGAATTCTTAACCTCTAACATCGAAGTGTTCGCCTGGACACCCTACGACATGCCAGGCATTGATCCAAACTTCATCTATCACCAACTCAATGTACACCCATCCGCCAGACCAGTCATTCAGCGCACTTGCAGATCGGCACTCCACCATGCTGAGATAGTGGCGGAAGAAGAAGGTAACCTGCTGGAGGCAGGAGCAATTAGAGAAGTGCACTACCCAAAATGGATCTCCAACACAGTCGTAGTGCCAAAGAAGAATGGCAAGTGGCGTGTCTGCGTCGACTACAAAACAGTCAACAAGGCGTGCCCAAAAGACAGCTTTCCTCTACCACGGATAGATTAACTGGTAGACCTAACGGCGGGGCACAACCGACTTAGCTTTCTAGATGCATACAGAGGCTACCACCAAATCGCCATGCATGAACCAGACCAGGAGGTCACATCCTTTACAACTCCAAGAGGACTGTACTGTTATAAGGTCATGTCCTTTGGCCTAAAGAACGCAGGGGCGACATTCCAACGGATGGTCACCAAGATGTTTTAACCATTGTTAGGCAGAACAATGGAAGCTTACATCGACGACATGGTGGTCAAGAGCAAGGATGAGAATGACCATCTCAAGGACCTAGGCGAGATGTTTGAGATCCTGAAGAAGCACAAGTTGCGCCTTAATGCATCCAAGTGCGCGTTCGGACTAGGATCTGGCAAGTTCTTGGGTTTCCTGGTAACCAACCGGGGTATAGAGGCAGACCCCTCCCAAATCAAAGCAATCCAGGATTTGGAGAGGCCTAACTCGATGAAAGAAATGCAGCATCTCACTGGCATAGCGGCTGCACTCAACCGATTCATCAGTCAGTCGTCAGACAGACTACGACCATTTTTTCAAGCATTAAAAGCCAAGTTTGAGTGGGACGAAGAATGCGACCGCGCTCTGAAAAGCTTAAAGGAATATATGTCCTCTCCACCACTGCTTGTCACCCCATTACTTGGAGAGGAACTCTTCCTGTACCTAGCAGTCTCTCAGCACGCAATTAGCGTAATGTTGGTCCGTGCGGAAGGGATCCAACATCTGCCCATCTACTATGTCAGCAAGACATTGCTGGGAGCTGAAACAAGGTACCTGCCACTGAAAAAACTGGCTCTGGCCTTGATGATGGCCTCAAGGATGTTGTCACACTACTTTCACGCCCATACCATAGTTGTCCTCACAGCCTTTCCATTAAAAGCTTTGTTTGAAAGGGTGAACTTTTCTGGGCAAATTTTGAAGTGGGCAGTAGAATTGGGGCAATACGACATCAAGTTCCAACCCAAGACCACAATAAAAGCTCAAGCATTGGTGGATTTTGTCGCAGAATTCACACCAGGAAGTCATCATATCTGCCCAGTCGACCTGACTGATACAACCAAACCAGGGAAAGAAGTTGACGCCGGAATAGCGTAACTCCTGGTGCAGGATACTCAGTCAGACTCCAAGGCAGACCAGAATAATGGAAACAACAAAGAAGCAAACCAAGCTACACCAAACCAAGACTCGCCAACAAATAAAGACTTGGTACAATCAGATAGCGAGGGGCAGACAACAAGCATGGACCTTAAAGAAAACACCAACAACATTCTTGACCCTACGACATCATCTGACCCCTCCACTTGCTGGAAGTTGTTCGTTAGAGAGATGTGGAAACTCTTTGTGGATAGAGCATCCAACCGGCATGGTGCAGGACTTGGCATAGTCCTCATCTCACCAGACGGCCTGGTTGTGGAGCAAGCAATCAACCTTGGCTTCCCAGCATCAAACAACGAAGCAGAGTATGAAGCACTTCTTGCAGGACTCAAATCAGCATTCTACATGAAGGCCACCGAACTACTGGTCTACAGTGACTCGCAGCTGGTGGTAAACCAAATCTCAGGTGACTATGAAACGAAGGATGACAGAATGGCTAAGTACCAAGACTTAGTCAGAAAAGAGATCAAGAAATTTGAAGTAGTGAGGATAGAACAGATAGGCAGGGAAGAGAACAGCAGAGCAGACGAACTAGCAGGCTTTGCTTCAATGGCAGATACATCCATCCCTCATCCGTTGCTCATCGACTACTTACCAAGACCAAGCATTGAAGACCCCGAAGCAGAAGAGGTATGCTGCGCCGATCTAGGCCCCTCATGGATGAATCCCATCATACTATTCTTGAAAGATGGCGTCCTACTGGAAGAAAAGAAAGAATCCAACAAAAGTAGAGCAAAGTCACAGCGATTTTGGCTCTCCCCATTTATGGCATTATATAAAAAGTCGTTCTTAGGACCCTATCTAAAGTGTGTCCACCCCAGCAAAGTGGAAGCATTCTTATACAAGATACACGAAGAGGTGTGCGTAAGCCATCAAGGAGGAAGATCGCTAGCTTACAGAGCCATTTCGCAAGGATACTGGTGGCCATACATGCAGGCAGACTCAGAGAAATATATGAAGAAGTGCGAGAAATGTCAAAAATTCGCACGCCAAATATATCAACCAGCTAGAGAACTCCTACCATTGACTAGCCCATGGCCTTTCGCAATGTGGGGCTTGGACATAGTAGGACCACTTCCAACAGCACCCGGCAACAGGAAGTTCTTTCTCACAGCAACAGACTACTTCACAAAGTAGGTGGAAGCAGAAGCATTGGCATCAATCAAGGAAAAAGATGTGAAGAAGTTCGTCTAGCAAAATATCATCACTCGGTTTGGCATAACAAAAGCCCTAATCTCAAACAACGACACTCAATTCGACGGTAGAATCTTCAGAGGCTTTTGTGAAGAGTACAAGATAGAGTTTTATAATTCTACACCGACATATCCCCAAGCAAATGGACAGACAGAAGCTTCAAACAAGGTAGTCTTGGATGGGTTGAAGAAAAGGTTGGAGAAAGCCAAAGGCAAATGGGCGGAAGAGCTTCCTCATGTTTTATGGGCTTACTGCACCACACCCCAGCGGTCAACAGGAGAAACACCATTCTCCTTAGCCTACGGTATGGAAGCAGTAATCCCACTAGAAGTTGGCCTCCCCACAATTCGAAGCGAAAATTTTGATCCAGACTTAAATAGCGAAGCCATAACATTGGAACTCAACCTTGCAGAAGAAAGAAGAGAAAGAGCACTAGTTCACATTGCCTCATATCAGCAAGAGTTATCCAGGAAATACAACAAGACAGTGCATCCAAGGCAATTCAAGATCGGCGATTGGGTACTGCGCAAAGTGATGGGAAACACCTTGGTACCGGGAGATGGCAAGTTAGGACCCAACTGGGAAGGACCTTACAAAGTGATTGGATTAGCAGGCAAAGGGGCATACCACTTGGAAGATAAGGATGGCAAAGCGATTCCCAGGCCATGGAATACTGCCAATCTCAAGTTATTTTATTTTTAATTTTTTCTTTTAAAATTGGTGTAATTTTTTCTCCTCATCAATAAGACAAAGTCAATTCTTTTCAGCATAGTTATTTTCTGTACAAGATAGTTTTAGAAAGTTCAAAACATTGTAAGCGCTTTATTCTAAGTTGGCAGGAAAAACCAACTTAGAGGTTGGCTGGATTAAACCAACACCCCTCTTAAGCCCAGGATAAGGATCCAGGCTGCAGGACGTTTGGTCACAATAACCAAACATTTTATTCTACGTTGGCAAGAAAAACCAACTTAGAGGTTGGCTGGATTAAACCAATACCCCTCCTAAGCCTATGATAAAGATCCAGGCTGCAGGACGTTTGGTCAGAATCACCAAACACTTTACTTTAGGTTGGCTGGAAAAACCAATCTAAAGGTTGGCTGGATTAAACCAACACCCCTCCTAAGCCCAAGATAAGGGTCTAGGCTGCAGGACGTTTGGTCGAAATAACCAAACACTTTACTTTAGGTTGGCTGGAAAAAACCAATCTAGAGGTTGGCTGGATTAAACCAACTCTTAGTACTCTTTAGCCAAAGTAAAGATATCGGCTAAAGAATGGTTGGCTGGATTAAACCAACTCTTAGTACTCTTTAGCCAAAGTAAAGACATCGGCTAAAGAATGGTTGCCTGGATTAAACCAACTCTTAGTACTCTTTAGCCAAAGTAAGGACATCGGCTAAAGAGTGGTTGGCTGGATTAAACCAACTCTTATTACTCTTCAGCCGAAGTAAGGGTATAGGCTGAAGAATGGCTAACTGGATTAAACCACTCTTGGTACTCTTCAGCCGAAGTACATATATCGGCTAAAGAGTGGTTGGCTAGTAAGGTCAGTCAAATGGCACAGGTAAGACCAAAATAAAAGTTGAACAAAAAAACACTTCATTGATCAAATTCAAAACAAGTACAAAGGGGGGGGCTATAGCCCGGTTACAAGAGCAAAAAGTAACAAGAAAAGAAAGTACAGAATCAATTAAAAAGGTCTTCAAGATCGGCTTCAATATTAACTTGAACACCGGTTGCAGATGGAAGATAGTAACTGGCAGAACGGTGTCAGTCGGCGGCTCAACAGTTAGGTCTTCAACCATTGGCTCCAACCGAGCTGATTGATCGTTGCCTTGCTCGTTGACTACCGGAGTAACGGTTGGCTCATTTTCTTCATCTTCATCATCTGAACCCTGCAAAAATTGTTGTTGGACAGAAGCAGCATACTCTGCTAGTGAGGCCGGAATAAAATACTGAGGAGCATTGTAGACCTCGGTTTCAGGCCCACAGCCGAGCTGCTCCACAGCACTTCTCCAGCCGCACTTGAAAAATAAGTCCTTCGTTGCTTCACATTGTGGAATGTAGAGGCCCTCCACCTCCTTGAAACCTTCGGTGTTGGCACCATCCACCTTCTTCTTCAGTTCAGCGATTTCGGCGTCCTTTTTCCCTTCGAGCTTGACTAGCTCACGAAGGTACTTATCTTTCATCACGATCAAGGCCTTCTGTTTGTCAGCTTCAGCCGAGGTAACTAGTCCGGTTAGACCAGCTACCTCAGCCATTAGCTCGGTCGTTTTTTGTTGTGATTCCTTCAGTTTGGTTTTTCTTTCTTCCACCTCTGCAATGGCCTGCCTAGCCGTTTTCCTGAGCTTCAATACCTTTTGATGGGCAATTTGGCTCTTCTGAAGAGACTAAAATGAACAGAAAGAAATCAATGACAAAACCGAACTGAAAGTTTGAAAAATTTGAGAGGCGAGGGACATCTTACCAGGATCATGAATTTAGTGACCAATCGGATGGCCCTTAGCTCGGTTAGGTTCTGGTGATGTTCCATGTCTGCTGGAAGGCAAACACTCTTGGCAAGGTTGAATGCCATCAAGTGATCCTTCTCAGCAACCACCGAATCAGTATCTTGGATGTATCAGTTCTGAAATTTCAGCTTCGGTGCCCACTTGGAGGAGCCAGCCCGGTCAGAAGGCTCCGATTGTGAAATCAGTGGGTGGCTCGGTGGAGGGGTGGTTTCGTCCTCATCCGCCAGATGCTGCTCAGTTGGGGTAGACTGGGCGCGCTTGGATGGGCGTGATGAAGAAGGCTATTGAGAAGGAAGGGCCACAACGGCCTGTTGCGTTTGGCTTGGTGGCGGTACTTCGAGTCTGTTGGTTTCAGTTAAGAGGGCCCTAACTCTATTTCTCTTGGCCATTTCTTCTTCAACGGTCAGTGGGATTAGTCTAATTTTTGGCAAGGTTGGGTCCGGTTCGGGGGCCTCCTCTAGCAGAAAGTCGGTCACTCTCGCTTTTCGGCGGCCGCTATATCTGTATGTCGGTTCAAAACTTAACAGCTTGGCCCAACTCCGTTCTGGATACCGTAGTGCGGCGCGGAGAGTGCCTAGATTGGGGTAGCTGTAAAGTGATTGAAGATGGGCTGAATCTGCGAAAAAAGACAACTGTTGGATCGGCCGCAGAATAGGAAACCGAATTAAAACGAAGCAGACAAGGAAACCGAAGTAATTATACCAGGTGTTCCTTTTTTCCAATTAATACTTCGGCCAGGAATCTGGGCTTGGTGATCCTCAAAGTTCCCAGATACCCAGAAAAAATCGTCATCATTCAGGTCCTTGTCCGGTGTATCTTTTATTATTTTTTCTCGGCGACGACGTATTCTTAAGTAATAGACCCAGCCGTCTTCTTTCGAGCCTATAGAGTATTGGTGGAACAGTTCGGTTAGTCCAAGGTTAAGACCGGCTCGGCGGTTTAGTTCGGCTATTCCCATTATTATACGGTAAGAATTGGTGGAAAGCTAAGTTGGGCACAGTCTGGTTTGCCTAAGGAATTCACAAATTAGGGGTTGGACTGGAAATCTTAGCCCGGTTTCTATTATTGAAAGAAGGGTAAAAGGTACAAAGCCTTCTTTGCCCCATGGTACAACATCTTGTTCGGCTAAAGTGAGTTGGACGTCGTCGGGTATGTTGTAATCTTTTCAGAATTCGGCTAGACCGCCCGGAGTATTTACTAAAAACCTATATTTCCCCATTTATTTTTTAAATTATGGATAATTTAGTTCGGTCGCAAAATTGTGCTCAGTAGCTCGGTTGAGCGCGCAGTGGAGTGCCTGGGCAACCTAAGTCTGCAAAGTGGAAAACAAAGGGGTTAAGCACAGATCATTGGACCGTGCTGCAAAATAAAAGCAAGAATAGGAGTCCTACTTCGGCTATGTGGATACTACAAGTTCTATCTCGGTTTCAACAAGGTGCTTGGTAGCTCGGATGGATTAGTGGGTAATGTTAGACCAGTTGAGCGCCTAGGGGCAGCTTTCTGAGTTCGGTCTAAAAACTAAGAAAGCTGGTTTAGCCCCAAAGACCTAGATCGGTCGAAATTAAGGTTATCCAGTATGCTAAGTGAAGACTTAGTTCGGTTGGATACCTCGGCTAAGGTCAATCAAGAAGTGGTTTGACTTATTGATTACAAACTACTTTCTAGTTCGGTTAAGTAGTCTGATAGAATGACAGACTACAAACTACTTTTTAGTTCGGTTATATGGTAATTATGGATCAAACTAAGTGTTCTGCAGACAGCTTCATGAAGTTTATGGGGTTCTTATGAAGTTTTTTCCTAGAAAACGCAAGGTAGAGCAAGAAAATATGTTTTGTAAAAACAGAAACAGTGTGCCACGAATGAAAAAAGCAAATGTAAAGACCACAAAAGCAAAATAGGTTTGAAAAACTTACCAGGTGAAGAGAAGGAAATAGAAAATAGCAGCGAGCACGAGCTTCACAGTTGCAAAAGATGGAGAATAATGGAGGCAAAAGGAGAGAAGAAAGAGTGAATGGGGTAAGTGATTCAAAAACAAGGTTGTTTTGTGGGAAGAGAAGGGGCAAAAGGCGGGAACTGTTCAAATTATGCGAAGTACGAGGCGGCGTGACAGCTGCAATAGGCCAATAAGGACGTGCTACGTGTCATGGGAAGGAGAAACGATTCAGATGCTGTGATTGAAGAGACGTTTTTGACCGGACAAGCGGAGCCCGGTGTGTAATTAGCTCGGCCGTATAGGCTGGAAGTTTTAGCTCGGCTGGAAAAGCTAAAAGGTTTTAGCTCGGAAGTTTTAGCTCAGCTGGAAAAGCTAAAAGGTTTTAGCTCGGCTGGAGAGGCTAAAAGATAGTTTAGCTTGGCTGATAAATAGGTAATCCCTATCATGCTATGCAGATGGAATTAAGGGGCAATTGAGAGGGTAATTTATATGCGAATTGGGCCAAGCTGGGCCTTTATGGGTCTCAGTACGAGGGGTTGAGTAAAGAGGTCATGAAGTTACTTCGGTTTTGAAGAGGCTTAAAGTTAGCCCGGTCTCAAGCCCAAAAAGTAGACCGGGCTGAGCGACTCTTGATATTAGTCCAGTCGAAGGACGCTTCGTAGTTAGACCGGTTTAAGGATGCTTTGAACTTATACCGGTCATGGCGCAGTGAAGCAAGATTGGTCTATACCTTGGTAAAAAGATAGTTCGGTTTTGGGCATACCCTGGTAAATAGAAGAGGAACAAAGGACAGAACCAAACTAATTATAGTTCAGCTATGTAGGGCCATGCTTACTTCGGTTGTATGTTAGTTCGGCCATGAAAAAACCATCTCACTTGGTTTAAGCAGTGAGGGGGGTGTTGAAGGATAAGCGTTATTCTTCAGGAGTATGAATCCTAGGAGGACTCTGAATGGAGGAGTAGAAGTCCTACTAGGATTGTGCCACACGAAACCTATAAAAGCTCACAAACATCACCTTTGGAGAGGTAACTCAACTTTGTTTTCTGAATACACAGAGCTTTTGTCTACTTGTCAAGTTTACTGACTTAGGCATCGGAGGGGTTTCCGGCACACACCCGCCGGCTAGCTCACCCTTGTGTTTTTAGGGAGTAAAGCGACGTCGTACAGAGGAGCGCAGACTTGATCAACAGGATTATACGAGAAGGTTTATTTCTTTCCCGTACACTTAGATTCCCACCTGTCAGAGAATTTGATGAGAAATCAATCAACATCAAGCTTGAACAGTTTCCAATAGATCTTGGAATACTATCACTAAGGGGTTGTTTAAGATGACCTAAATAAGTGTACTTTTTGTCTTTTTATGAAAAGATGTACAAAAAAGTAGAGAATTGATGTGATGAAAAAAAGATAAAAAAATAAAAAGATGAATTATTTTTGGGTTGCCAAACTTGACCTAAGATTGTTTTCCCAAATAGACAAATTTTTGAGATTTCTAAGAAATCTTGGAATGCTCCCACTAAGATTGTTTCGCAAAAGATTAAAAAATTTGAGGTTTCTTAGCAAATTAGGTTAGTTTTTTGACTTTTTAATTTTTTTGGTTATTTTAATCTGGGCTAAAAAGTTTAGTTTGGAAAGAACTTTTTAATTTTTTTAACTTTTTTTTTGTGAGAAAATAATGTAATAATTATGAGTTAAATATGATATTTCATTTTTTATGATTAAAATAGTGTATTTTATCTTTTGTAACTAAAATAATAATAAAAAAAAATCCCGTTTAACTCTTTCTAAACGAAGGTGGAGTTCACTAGAAATCTCACCCATTAGAGAATTTGATGAGAAATAAGTCAATGACAAGCTTGAGCAGTTTCCAAGAGACCTTGGAATGCTCCCACTAAGATTGTTTTGCGCAAGATACAAAAGTTGGAGATTTTTCAGCATGCTTAGTTCACTTGGAATCTCACTTGTCAGAAAATTTGATGAGAAACCAATCAACGACAAGCTTGAACAGTTTCCAAGAGATCTTGGAATCTCACCTGTGAGATTCGCGGAGTATACTGAAAGAATCTCGAGATTCTTCAACTCTCCAATATTGTATGGAATCTTTCCTGACATCCCAGTCTCTGCAAGACCAAGAAAAACTAGTTGTTTGCATTGTGACATCTGCATTGGGATCTCTCCGCAGATTCCCGGGTTTCCACCAGCTCGAAAGCTTTTTAGAGCCCGTAACTGCCCTATTTCAAGTGGAATTCTTCCAGAGAGCTGGTTACCAAACAGTAGAAGCTGTTGAAGCTTTGAGCAATTTCCGATTTCAGTTGGAATTCCATCTTGCAAGGAATTAGAACCCAGTGATAGTAACTGCAGTTGGGATAATTTTCCGATTTCTGGTGGTATTCTTCCTGTCAGAGCATTGTAACTGAGATCCAAGCTGACCAGTGATGACATGTTTCCAATCGAACATGGAATTTCTCCGATGAAGTTGCCATAAGAAAGAACAAGGGTGGTAAGGAAGTTGAAGGAGACGAACTTGTTGAGGATCGGGGGCACACCAGGGAACTCAAACAAGCAATAACACACAAGATTTAACGTGGTTCGGCAAGTCGCCTACGTCCACGGGCAGCGGATTCACTATATTGAACAAAATGGTAAGAATTACAACACTCTCTGTAATTCTCTCTCTCTTTGCTCTCAACTCACACCTCTCAGCTCCAAATCTAATATCTATATCCTCTCCCTCCCGTCTCTATTTATACACAAAGGAGTAGGTGGGAGAGCCCTCATTCTTTGACTTTTGACATGGTTGGTGGCCTTCCATTGTTGACATGAGGATCACCCCTTTCACATGGGGTGACCTCTAACTCCTCCATCGAACTCTCGTAAGCTCGAGAACCACTGCTTGTTAGGACACATATGGAATGAACATCCGGAATCTATTATCCATTCATCAGACTGGCCATATGATGAAACTGTGAAGGCTCCTCCTTCATCATTATCTCCATCTTGTGCAATATTCACCTTCTCTTCTGTCTTGTCTTTATTTGGACAATCTTTTGCCCAATGCCCCTTCTGGCGACAAGCTGCACACTCGTCTTTTGCAAGACGTCTTTTGTCTGAAGGTTTTCCCCTGGATTTTGAGCGAGACTTTCCTCGCCTTGTATTTCTTCTGTTATTTGTTCTGCCTCTGACTGTTAATGCCTCGGATGTTGAGTCCCTGTTTGCAGACTTATCTTTCCTTCTGAACTCATTGTTCACCAAGGCGTTTGTGAGAATACCTCATTGTAGTCTATTCCTTCCTTCTGAGCATAGCCTTTAGCTACCAATCTAGCTTTGAATCTGATGTTGTCTCTGCCTGGGATGCCTTCCTTCTTGGTGTAAACCCATTTACACCCAATTGCTTTCTTGCCTTTTGGAAGTTGTACCAACTCCCAAGTCTGGTTCTTGTGAAGTGACCCGATCTCTTCATCCATAGCCTCTTTCCATTTGACACTTTCTGCATTATGCACAGCTTCTTTGAAAGTGCAAGGAATATTGTCTTCAATGATTGGAAGTTCATAGGCTACCATATCGGTCATCCAACTGGGTTGCTTAGTAAGCCTTTTTCCTTTCCTGATTGCAATGGGTTCTGATTGTTGCGGAGCCTCTGGATTTTCATTTTCATCTGAACTCTCTTCAGAGCTATCTTCTTCAGGATGGTTGATTGGCTGACTAGTCTTTGCTGGAGTCTTAAACTCCACCTGCACTGACTTCTTCAATGCTTCTTCATTCTGTTGAGGATCTGGTTGCTTCAGCATTGCAGACTCATCAAAGGTAACGTCTCTTCTGATGAGAACTTTCTTTGATTCAGGGCACCACAGTCTGTATCCCTTGACACCGTCACCGAAGCCCAATAAGATGGCTTTCTTGGCTCTTGGATCCAACTTAGATTCTGTAACATGAAAATATGCTGGACATCCAAAGATACGTAACTGATCATAATCAGTAACTGGGACTCCTGACCATACCTCCATGGGAGTCTTCCCATCTAATGCTGCAGTAGGTAGTCTGTTGACAAGATGACGAGCATAGTTCAATGCCTCGCCCTAAAATGCCTTGCTCAATCCAGACTGTGACAGCATACACCGGACTTTCTCCACCAAAGTGTGGTTCATGCGTTCTGCAACTCCATTTTGCTGCGGTGTTCCAGGAACTGTGAAATGTCTTACTATCCCTGCATTCTGGCAAATCTCAAAGAAGGGATCTGATGTATATTCTCTACCATTGTCAGATCTGAGCTTCTTGATCCGTCTGCCTGTCTGGGTCTCAATCATCTTCTTCCACGTAAGAAAGATGTCTAAGACTTCATCTTTGTGTTTCATTGTATAAATCCAAACTCTTCTAGAGAAATCATCAATGAACGACACAAAGTAGTGTTTACCTCCCAATGAAGCATTCTTGGAAGGACCCCATACGTCGGTGTGGATGTAGTCTAGAATCCCTTTGGTATGGTGAATTGCAGTACCAAACTTGATTCTTGTTTGCTTGCCCAATGCACAATGCTCGCAGAACTCAAGTTTCCCCGTCTTGGTGCCTTTCAACAGGCCTTGCTTTACCAATCCTTGTAAAGCCTTCTCACCGACATGCCCTAGGCGCATGTGCCAAAGTTTGGAAGTGTCTGATGCATCATCTTCTGAGCTGGAACTGGTGGAGACAGCCACTCTTCCTGTGACTGTAGAGCCATCTAGGAAATATAAGTTTCCCTGTCGAGTACCCTTCATTGCAACCAATGCTCCTCGAACAACTTTAAGGACTCCACCTTCCATGGTTATTCTGTAACCTTTGGAGTCTAAAACTCCCACTGAGATGAGATTCTTGGTTAGATCTGGTACATACTGTACATCTTCAAGAATTCTGATTGTTCCATCATGGATCTTCAGTTTAATTGTTCCAATCCCCTTTGTCTGACAAGCTTGGTCGTTGCCCATCAGCACAACTCCTCCATCGAACTCTCGTAAGCTCGAGAACAACTGCTTGTTAGGACACATATGGAATGAACATCCGGAATCTATTATCCATTCATCCGACTAGCCATATGATGAAACTGTGAAGGCTCCTCCTTCATCATTATCTCCATCTCGTGCAATATTCACCTTCTCTTCTGTCTTGTCTTTATCTGGACAATCTTTTGCCCAATGCCCCTTCTGGTGACAAGCTGCACACTCGTCTTTTGCAAGACGTCTTTTGTCTGAAGGTTTTCCCCTGGATTTCGAGCGAGACTTTCCTCGCCCTGTCTTTCTTCTGTTATTTGTTCTGCCTCTGACTGTTAATGCCTCGGATGTTGAGTGCCTGTTTGCAGACTTATCTTTCCTTCTGAACTCATTGTTCACCAAGGCGTTTGCAACATCAATATACTTGATCTTCTCTTTACCGTACAGTAAAGTAGTAGTGAGATGATCATACGAGTCAGGCAAGGAATTTAACAATAACAGTGCTTTATCTTCATCATCAACATGATCATCCAAATTCTTCAAATCTGTAATAATTTTGTTGAAGTTATTTAGGTGTTCGTTCATCGAAATACCTTTAATGTAGTCGAAACGAAACAACCTCTTCCTCAAGTAGAGCCGGTTCTCAATGCTCTTCGTCATAAACTTATCTTCCAGCGCCTTCCAAAGCTTCTTCGCAATATCATATTCTGTAAAGGCATACTTCTCCTCTTTTGCAAGGCAAAGTCGGATGGAACTGCAGGTTAGGAGATTCACCCTCTCCCATTCTATCTCGTCCAGGTCATCTGGTTTGTCTCCCAGAGTGAAGTGCAGGTTCATTTGGACAAGCATATCCTTAACTTCGCATCTCTACATGCCGAAGTTGTTGCTTCCATCGAACTTCTCTACCTCGAACTTGGCATGGGACACCGGGGTCCAATGCCTAGAAGTGCTTGTACTGGTTGGATTACTTACGGACTCGGTTGATCTAGATTTTGCCATTTTTTAGAAACTTCAATTCAAAAAACTGACCGTACAGATGTGTCCGGAATACTCCAAATAGTTGGGAAGCACTATTGGATCGTCAAAAACGGACTCTGAATGGCTCCGATCTGGCAAAAATACTTTGGACGGGTCAGATCTGCAGAATCTGGTGCGCTGAGATGCACCGGATAATCTCTCCAGTCAACGGCTGGTAAACGGCTCGGTCAACGGCGGCTTGACGGCTGGTCAACGGTGTGGTCAACGGCTCAGGCTGACTGGACTGACACGTGGCTGACACGTGGCCTGACTGTCGGACACGGGGCGTTGACGTGGCGGCTGACGTGGCGATGACGTGGCGGATGCCGTGGCGCTGACGTGGCTCGTCTTCTTCCTGGAGACGAGCGTGCGGCGCGTGGGGTGCGACTGGGATCACGCGCCGGTGCCTTCACGGCGCGTGTGGGCGCGTGCTGAGACTGTGACTCACGCGCCAACTTCCAGGGGCGCGTGAGGGAGCGTGGATTCTCCTCTGGGCTCTGTTTTTGCTGTTCTGGACTCCTCTCGGGGAGTTCTTCCTCCTGGTGTGGTCAAAAGTGGATTTTGAGCACTTCGAAATCTGGGCACTTTCGGGAAAAATTCGATTTTTCGCAACCCGAGCTCTGATACCAATTGTTGAGGATCGGGGGCACACCAGGGAACTCAAACAAGCTATAACACACAAGATTTAACGTGGTTCGGCAAGTCGCCTACGTCCACGGGCAGCGGATTCACTATATTGAACAAAATGGTAAGAATTACAACACTCTCTGTAATTCTCTCTCTCTTTGCTCTCTAAGCTCACACCTCTCAGCTGTACATCAACTCTCCTTAGCTTCTCTATATATAGAGATTACCAATGCTAGAGTAATTGAGCTGGCTGCCAGCCCATTTCGATGGCTTTCCAGATTGAGGCTTCATGGCCTCATGGCCTCATGGCCAACTCACATGGCCTCATGGCTTCCCCACCATGTAGCTGGCTGCTACTTTCCTTCACATGGCCAGAATCTGTAGCCAACTCAACAGAACTGAATAGGGAAGGTTGTGCAAAGATCGATAGAGCTAATATTGATTTCTGAAACAAACCCATCACAGTTACATTTGATGTAGTCCCATTGACATGGGTTCTTGTGGGTTGCGTTCCACGAAGCAAAGAAAGTGGCAGAATGAGAATAATTGAAAATAGAAAGCCATGAGAGCAAAGAGAGGCCTTCTTGGTTCAAAGCAGAGATGGCTAGTATGTTGAGGAACAAGAGAAATATCAACTTTGCATTGCCTGACATGATTGAACAAAACCTGAATTCAATGCTGTGAACCTCAAAAAAAAATCTACTTTTTTTTTTTTTCCGTTTCTTTTCAAAAAGAGATTTGTGTTTGTCGTTCAATCATGGACAATCCTCTACTTTATATAGACTTCTTAGGTCTTTACGTACGTGCCAGCTTTTCTACAACCCAGTCAAGGGGGTCGTCGAACCACCAAAAATTAAATGATAAATTATAAAAATATCCCCTAAAATTTAATTAAATAGGGATTGCTCCCTGAAATTATGAAAATTGC